TGACGCTGGACAGTGTCATTGGTAATGGTGACACTGTCCGATTAGATTGTAGTTTTAATTTTTTACACACTATACGTCTTTTTCATTCTATATAAATCTTTTACCGACATGTATTGGTTTTAAGTCGCTCTATTTTTACATTTTACTTTAATTTACTTTCATTGTTTTTACCAGTTGTTTGGCACAGATAGCCTCGCTGCTTTGCGCCATAAAGCACCAACCAACCAAAAAGCAGTAATTATGGTCACAGAACTACAGATCCGCATACAGACCAAAAGAGAATTATAAATCACAACCAATATTTACGGCTACATTCTTTCAGTTGTCATGCTTCACTAATGTAGTCTATCAATTTTTGAATCTTATTCAAATCCAACAAGCACTGTTTCACAGGTAACATGTTCACATGTGCATGCCTGTGATCTGTACTTCAGTTTGTTATTTAAGCCATAAATGATGTCATTATCCCCAGGTATAAAAATTATTAATTTCACCAGCATAAACTACCAAATATCTGTGATTGTAACATCACTATCACATTTTTCTCTTCTTCCCTTCTAGTAAGCCAGTGTTGAAACTTTTTCAGTAGGTTCTTTCAACTCCTTGAGCCTTTCCATGCTCTCCATGATAGCTTGTCTTTCCTTCATTTACTGAAGACATTCTTTTTGAGTGATATTTTCTCTTATTTGATTTGCTTGTAGTACTTGCTGCTCCCCTTATATTTTTGCACAGTCAACTGTCCAGCTCATCATATTATGTTGGTTTTTTTTCTGCCTGACATTGTCAAGGCCATTTGATTTCTAGTTCTGATACCAAGTTTTAGAATCATGGAAATGAAAGTCTGAATATTCATTACCTCCGTCACCTTTGGTGGCAGAAATTATGTTTTCACCCCTGGGTGTGTGTGTGTTTTTCAGCAATATTTCTCAAAAATGGCTTAATGGATTTGGACAAAAGTTGGTATACATTTGGACTATGACCCAACTTAGAAGTGTTTAGTTTTTGGAGAGTCAAGGTTGCAAAAATAAAAAAATCACCATCTGTTAACATGGGGATCAATTTTCCACACTATTTTTACTCTATAGCTCAGTCAAAAATGATTGTATTTTGATAAAATTTGATGGACATATGTAGAATATTATTCCTCATTGTCCTGCCAAAAATGGTCTGTGTCTGTTGATGACGACGGACTTACAGACACATTTTAAATTTTTTTAGGGCTGAATATAATCAATGCTGCATGGTGGAGGTATGTCCTCTACTGAATGTTAAAGCAACCCTCCACTATAGGACCATGGAAAGAAGAAGAAAGACCTGGTAGGTGTTTAGATATGAAGAGGTTTGAATATGTGAACTACATCACAGTTGATGTTGCAGAGTCCAGTTATGCTCTATCTGATCTGTTCAACTTGACAATAGTCTTGCAATGTAATTACC